TGTAGAGTAGATAGGGCGCCTGGCGCCATTCACAAGAGAGAGCTACATTTGCGTTATGCTGTCGGTGTTGCCCTGTTGGGCATGGACATTGACTCACGATTCTTCTGTATCATTCTCAATGGGATGGTTACTCGGTTCCATGTGCTATCTGCTTTGGCTTTGAATACTTGGACTTCAGTGTGATTTTGCATTCTGGATTTCTGTGCTTCGTCCATACTCATGTTCCTTGCAGAGTGATTTTAACTTATTTACTCGTTTGAATTGATTGGGATAAAAAGTTAAAAACTGAGGTCTGTATTTCCACAGTTCATGGGTGTACCAACTGAGCTGGCCGATTCTTCTACAGGATCTTTTTCTTTTTTCTTTTTTTCAACAGGGTCTTTTTTAGAAAGCTTGGGTTTTTTTCTTTTTTTTCACCTTTAAAAATGGTAGGGCCTAACCTAACCTCTTTGATCCAATCAGTCTTCGCGACTCTTCGGAAATGTTCCATGTTCTAGAAAGACAGGAAGACACAGGGTAGTATGTTTCGAAGGAAACTTCTTTGTTTACTGCAGCCGCTGCGCAGCGTTTTTTTCGACAAAACTTCACAAAAGTCTTGGAAAGGGAAACCAATTGGCTTAATTTGGCTAGGGCCGCTAGGTAGAAAGGGGAAACCAGTAGCAGTTGATACATACTCAGCAAAACTGTGCCGGCATTGTACACAAGCGGAGGGGAGCTACACGGAGCCTACACCACAGATGACAGGAGACAAACAGTGACCGCGGAACAGCCATTTCGTCAAAACGGACTTTTTTTTATTTTTTTAACGAAATTGAAACCTCATAAACTGGCCCGAATTAGGTGGGAAATTTCCAGCTCTGTATCCGGACTGATGGACTGGACTTGCATCCAGGAGGTAGGGCGTTTTCAGAATGCCGTACCCTCAGGAGCTGAAAATATCGACCTACATCGGCCCAATTTATGAGTTTTCAATTTCGTTCAAAAAATAAAAATATGCCCGTTTTGACGAAATGCTGTTGCGGAGACACTGCAATGTTTTTCCAATTTTAGGATTGGGGGTATGCTCAGGTCATCTGGAAGGGGGGCATGGCTTGCCTTTCAAAGAAGCTTGTAGTGCCTGGCAGTGGGTACCATTGGGAGTCTCCCGGGCCCGGGTACAATCGGTCCTTCGGGCATCCATGCCACCACCACAAGCCGTGTGCGATGGACTCGTTGGGCTGACGACGCCGTGATCTTCGTTTTTCTTCTCTGCCTTTTTCTTCCCTTTCTTGTTTGTTCCACTGTTCCAAATTATTCGGCCTTCAGGTATGTATAGGCTCTGTTCATTGTTCACAATGACATGCTAGTATGATGCTAGTGTTATGGTAGTAGGTATAGGCTCTGTTCATTGTTCACAATGACATGCTACCGGTAGTATGATGCTAGTATGAGGGTACCAACTAGCTTTTGCCCGTAACAACTTTACTAATAAGAATGTGTGGTTATTTTTTATTTTTTATCTTAAAGAACAAAAAGAAAAAGGCAGACATGATAGCACTCTTAACAGAAGTAGAGCAGCAAACTAGTCAGGATGAGACATGGTCAAAAAAAAAAAAAAAAAAAAAAAAAAAAAAAAAAAAAAAAAAAAAAAAAAAAAAAAAAAAGGTACATTAAACTGCGGGTTCCAAATCCGGAATCTTCAACCATTTAGATAAACGAAAGGCTGAGCAATTTTTCTTTTTTTTCCAAAAAAGGGATCACATCACGAGTTAATCCTTCCACAGCGAAGCATTGAAGCAATCAAACAAGCAGTCGAAAATCAAGATCGCTTCTTTCTTCCGTCATAGCAGTCAGTGTAATTTAAAAACAAAACAGGGGTAGAGCAGGGATGGAGCAGTGGAAAATCCTTCCACCTTGGAAGTAATCAAGGCCGCTGTTTCAGCACCTCTTGTCCATAAGGGGGGGCAGATGCATCGAGTGCCTGACCATAAGGGGAATGGGGGTGATGCATTGAGTGAGTACAGCTGCTGAGCTGAGTCAGCTGACATAAGGGACGCTGGACCTGCCTTTCTAAGATTACTGATACAAAAGCATTCGCTAGAAACTATGAATATCTAAAAATCCGAATCTATCCCATTGATTCCTGAGGCTTTTCTTTCCTCCTTAGTACCCTAACTTCTTTTCCCCTCGGAGAATAATGCCATTATGCCAGCTTGCTATATTTGCGAATCTTGCGATACTACAGGTACTAGTTCCTTCGGCTGCTGAAGTTCGGCAGTATGATTCCCGAGGTCCATCAAAAGGTCACGGTGTCATCAGGGTGCACGAGGTGCGTCTGGCCCAGAAAATCCACACTCGTCATTTGTAGATCACTTGCCCATTTTTCCAGCAGCATTTGTGATTGGTGGCAACAGAATTGGAAAAAAAACATGAGCAACACAATTCCTCTCGACAGATGAGCGTGTCTGTGACTCTGTGACTGTGAGTGCTTTGTGTGTGACAGTGTGGTGTCACTGGTGTGTGGGAGTGTTGGCGATAAGACACTGCTGTTCCTCAATGGGGATGGAGGAACTTCAAGTTAAAAAGCTCACAGCGACTGGCAAAATGCTCAGCCGGGCAGCGACGCTGCGTGACTGCCTGTAGCCTCACTACCGTCTTCACCTGAATACAACGGCGGGTGATTATGGCTGCATGAGGACTGAAAGTTACGCCAAATACCGCCATAAAGAACGGCCGTTCTATTCGGGTAAAGAGTCTGAAGACGGTAGCGCCGTCCCAGAGAAGCAAGGCTACCAGCAATCACGTAGCGGTTACAGTGAAAGAACGTGGGCACAGATTAAAATACACAGGAATTATTTAGCATTAATGAAGAACAACACGACAAAAACTACAAGACCGAACAGTCTTATCACCCATATCTCATACAGCAGTCCGTGTTTGACGAATCGACCGATGAATAAGACGCAGTAACGAGTCTAAGGACATAATAATTAGCGAAAGACAAGCCCACGAATCACAACGACTGAAGGCCGCCATCATCGTTCGATTATATCACCTATCATCTTCATTTCCCAATTTTGCTCACACAACCTCAAAAGTGCATTTTAGCATCACACCAAGGGACTGCTACATTACCACTGCTTACGTCAATTCACGTCGTCATCGTCTCCGCCTCCCCTGCCCCCTGCTGAGTCTCATCGCGAGCACGTTATTTGCAGGACCACTTCGCCGTGTGTCTACTGTCCATCTAGATTTGAACGTACGTCTGTATTTCAATTCTCAACATCTGGTTGATGAAATTGGTCTACCAACTGAGTTTGCCATGTTTCGGATGTCATGTAGAGGCCACATTGTTCATTTTCAGCAACAAGAAGGATTCGCAACCGGATCTCAACGGAATCCTAAAGCCATTCAGGATCAATTCAGGAATCAATTCAAGATGCATTCAGGAATTTCGTTCACCTAGTTCCATGATTCCATCTAGATTCAGCCTGACGTCTGTATAATTTCAACACTTGGGTTGCTAAACCAACTGAGTTAGGCCGGTTTCACATGGTCTAGGAACCATTTTGACAAGAAAAAACATTATCCCACCCCGATGTCAACAGGTTCTCGAGACTTCACTCCATCCATTCCAACTCACCATGCCATCCATTCCAACCCACCATTCCACAACACGACTAACAACCTCTTCACTGAATGTCACTGAATCTCACCTATCTGAACGTACGTCGCACTGATCACCATTTCATTTTGGTATCATGGGAGTACCCCTGACATATGCCATTCAGAAACATTGTAAAAGGGCTCGGAAGATAAAAATATCTGTAACGCATACAACAAAGAAGAGAGAGATCCTACTAGAAAGCTAGTGTCAGCACCTGGCGGTACAAAAGAATTCTTTTTCATGCGAGGCTGTGCAAGACATCATTGGCCAACTCGGATCTGACATTCTGGTGAAGCATATTTCAGGATGGATCCCATGAAATAAAACACTGAATTTTAAAACACAAGCAAAACGACGACATAGGCACAACTAAAGCCCATTACAAACACAAAAACAGCAATATATGTTATGCAAACGTTTTCACAATCAGATCACCAGATAGAAGTTCGATCGTACGCCGAAAGAAAATACTTAGATAAAAAACAAACACCAACATTCAAACCAGAAGATATCAAACTCATCTATTTCGAATCCAAAGAGAAGATCGGCTTCGGAGGCAACGGCGTCATCTATTGCTTGGACTGAAACGGACAAATGAAAGGGAAAGTACATAAATCTCGACGACTTGGGAGTAATGAATGGGCGTTCATATCCTAAAGAACCGTAGGCGTGCACGTGACACAACCACAGATTACGGGATCGCGCTATGTCATCCACTCACCGAAAAGAATGAAGATGCTCAGTAACTAAAAACTACTTGTCCAAATTCGAGAAACGCTGCACATGTTCCTCTACAAAGAATGGACTCTGCTACAACTTAAACAATTGACCTAGACAAATCCCAATCTTCAACCGTTCTCACATCTGCGGCCCTGCCGAAAGAATCTCCTCCGTCAGCTTCTTGTCCCCTCCAACGGTGTAGTCCTCGAACTTCCTGAAGTTCGCCTTGAAAAGCCCGCCAACCTTTGTCAGAGTGGTGTTAAACAGCTCCTTGTCCGCCCACATGTTCTGCGGCATCAGAACCTCGTCAGGCACACCCTCGACATGATCAGGGACGGCGAGATTGAACACGTCCGTCGCCGTGTACTTGGCCTGCAGGAGCGACCCGTCGTGAATGGCATCGATGATCTTGCGCGTGTGCGGCAGCTTCATCCTGTACCCCGTGCCGTAGCTTCCTGCAACCCACCCGGTGTTGACGAGCCACGCAGTCGCGCCGTGCTTCTGCATCTTCTCCGCCAGCATGGAAGCGTACTTGGCCGGATGCCAAACGATGAACGCAGCTCCGAAGCACGCGGAGAACGTCGCCTTCGGCTCCTTCACGCCCACCTCCGTGCCGGCCACGAGCGCCGTGTACCCGCTCATGAAGTGGTACATCGTTTGCGCCAACGTCAGCTTGCTCACAGGCGGGAGCACGCCGAAAGCGTCGCACGTGAGAAGGATGACGTTGTTCGCGTGCGGGCCGACGCATGGAATCTTTGCGTTGTCGATGTGCTCGATGGGATAGGACGCCCGGGTGTTCTCGGTCACCGACTTGTCAGTGAAGTCCACCACCCGCGTGTGCTCGTCGAACACCACGTTCTCCAGGACCGTGCCGAAGCGAATCGCATTCCAGATGTCTGGCTCCTTCTCCTTGGACAGGTCGATGCACTTGGCGTAGCATCCTCCCTCGATGTTCGACACTCCGTCGTCGCTCCAGCAGTGCTCGTCGTCGCCGATCAGGTACCTGTTCGGATCCGCCGACAATGTGGTCTTGCCCGTCCCCGACAGCCCGAAGAAGAGCGATACCTTCCCCTCCTTGGACATGTTGCACCCCGAGTGCAGGGACAGGATGCCCCTCTTCGGCATCAGATAGTTCATCAGCCCGAACAGACCCTTCTTCATCTCACCGGCGTACTGCGAGCCCAGAATGACCATCTCCCGCCTCTTCAGATGGATGTCGATGCTGGTTGACGACGTCATGTAGTGCGTGAAGCGGTTGGCCGGGAACCTCCCGCCATTGTAGATGGTGAACTCCGGCTCGAAATCCTCCAACTCCTCGGGCGTCGGCCGAATGCACATATTGCGCATGAACAACGAGTGGTACGGCCGTGCCGTGATGATGCGCACCTTGATTCTGTTCTTCGGGTCCCAGTTGAGAAACTGGTCGTTCACGTACACCTTGTCCAACGAGTTGAGGTAATCCACAGCTCTCTCCCGGTTAATCAAGAACGTCTCCTCGTCCATCTCAATGTTGGGCGAGCCCTCTCCCCACCAGAGGTCAGCAGACGTCTCATCCTCCTTCACCACGCGCTTGTCCTTCGGAGAACGACCGGTCTTGGCTCCGGAAAGAGTGGCCAGCGCGCCGGTGGACGTGATGTGCGACCCCTGCTCGTACTTGATCGCCTCCTCGTACAGCTCCGCGGGAGACAAGTTGTAAAGCACATGAGCAACCTTCAGATCCGTGTCACTAAGATCCGGTCGAAACTGATGACACACTGCTTTGCCCTTGGAGATGGAAGCAAGCGACTTGCCGATCGACTGCGCCGGAGGAGGGACCTTCTCGGACGACGACGCTTTCTGCAGTGAGTGAAGCTCCTCAACATTTTTCGCCGTCACGGGCGGATGAATGTCCCCGTACGACTCATGATGGGGATCAACCTGCACGCCATCGCAGCCAGCATTCAGATTCGCCGCCATGATGAGGACGCTAGGGACGGCGGCAAACAGGCGGCACCTGAGAGATCTGATCAGGGAGACGGCCGAACCAGAAACAGAAATAAAGATGTGCAACAGCAAGAAACCGCAAGGGGCCTTCAAATATGAGGGCGCCCAGTGCAACCAGTTGTTCAAGGCAAGCTGGTGCTACGTCCGAGGAGGGCATCCTGCTATAAATAATGCCAAGGAGAGAATCGGCAAGAAACATGGCTCGCCTCCTGAAATCCCGCATGTGTGCGAAACTGGACAGCGCTCTAGAGAACCAGTGGCAACTCAGGCAGTGGACCTCAGCGCGCACTCGTCGACTGGCAACGTTTTGAATGCATATGGACAAAGGAAGGACCGGATACGTTCAAAATGTTTGCGTTTGGGAAGTGGTACGGCGAGGCCCAGTGTCAAATTTTGGGACTCGCTGTACCGCTCACCGAAGGCGAAAACGACAAAACCTATGGAGGGTGTATCGTTCCACGTTCGACAAGAAGATCCATTGGCGTTTCGGCATTATTGGCACTTAGCGGGAACGTTCAATGGGGAGAAAGCACTATACTCCGGGCACACTCACACCAGGACCTTTTCAATTATTTCTGGACGAAACGCAGCCAGACACATCAACGTGGGGCCGTAACGACGGTCAAATACATTCCGAAGAGTGGTTCGGGACTACCCCATGTGGTCGGAGAGGGAGAACGCACGAACGTAAAAAAAAAAAAAAAAAAAAAANAAAAAAAAAAAAAAAAAAAAAAAAAAAAAAAAAAAAAGGAACGCACGAACGTGGTCGGCGTTGTACGGTTCCTCGGACTTTTCCTCTCATTTGGCGTTCTTTGAATGTGAATGAATGTATTTGGATAGTTATGCCGTCATTGTTCATTTCATTCTCGAACACAACAGTGAACCTCCGCAGCTGGACTGTGGGACCTTGCTCGACGACTCCCCACTCCCCACTTGCACAAAAGACAAACAAAACCTAATTGCGGGGGTATGGACCTCGGCACGCCACTCTCGAAATGTGAAAAAGACAAAACTGTGGCGTGTGCATGTGGCCGTGTTGTAGCCGAAAGTTCATTCTCATTTTGCACATTTCGAGAGTTGTGTGGCAATGCCCTATCTTTGCATGTTCACAACGTTTGTGGAGGTGGAGGGAGGCGGTTGGGTGCGGCGAAACTTCCGGGCGAAGCGCAGTTCAGGGAGAATCTGGTTTTTTTTGTTTGTTTTTTTTTGAAGCAGGGGCAGCGAAAAAAAAAAAAAAAAAAAAAAAAAGCAGGAGCAGCAACGAATCGAGAAGGGTTTGGGCCTCGTCACACCCCTCCTGAATTGTTGGAGAAAATTTGGGGCATTGCTCTCGAGTCTTCCAACTTGTAGAATCTGTAGGGGGAGGGGACCGGAGGGGAGGCACAGAGACTGGCCCATCAAAGGAGCTCGGTCCTGATGCTACCGGCTGACCCCTGGACGGTATCCCCCACCTGCTGTAGCAGGTATCGCACCGGCTGGTGGGTGCAGCTTTCGCATGCTCCTTCATCGAGGCCTGAGCATGGATGTGGCTGCTACGGGTTCCCCGTAATACTAAAATAATAATAATATTGGCAACAAAAAAGGCCGTTCTGTCCAGAGTCTACAGGTAATTGAACTGGGAGAAGGAAAAAAAAACACTTGCAGAATTCCATACGACTCGGAGAGTGCCTTTTGCCACACTGGCTCTCCATAAGGGTCATCAATTCCGAAATTGACAGAGGCCTCTTCCCAACAAGTGCAGTCTGACATAAAACTCTTGTTGTTCACGGTGCACTCTTGGGAATCTCAAGACCTACCTTGTCGGTCGGCCCGAGGTCTCTCGAAAATGGCAATTTGCAGGCGGGCACCGAAAGGGAGGCTCAAGAGTACTCTGAAGCCCGCTTCTCTGACAGCTCTCAAACTCACTTTCCGGACCTGAATCCAAGACCAAGACCATATGTGGCGATGCGTGTACTCCAGAAAACACGCATTTTGGGAGTGGTGTGGCAACAGCCTTTGAGAGACCCGGTTCTGATTGATTGGGAGAAAAAAGTCACGTCGTCTTCTTCTATCTCTAGAGGATCGAAATGGCATTGTGACGCCCAACCTCACGCCCGGCACGACTTCCTGATCGGAGTGGACTGTGGGCCTGGAAGTGCGAAAAGTGGTGTGCCAAGGATTTTTGGGGGAAGTGGGGGAATCTGAAGGGTATGAATGCAATTAGGCGAACGAGGGGTGCGAGCAAAGGGTCTCACAGTCCGAAGGGGCCGGGACACTGTGGGCGACGGGTTACGGGAAAATTCCTCCGTGGTGGAGATGGTCCCGAAAAGTTAGGCCGTCGGGGGCCGCCACATGGCGCAGGCCGCAGCGTACCTGGGTTGGGACTTCGGAATTCCGGAGTTCTCTGTCCGCCGCTGCGTCGGCAGTTCACGCAAAACGTATTGGGCCAATAGGGGGCTATGGCCGGCCACGGAACGACACTGAGTTGATGATACGGGAGAAGAAGGCGGAAAGGAGGGAAACTGGTGGTGATCTCGACGAATCCCGGGTGGGTGAAGTAGTAGGTGTGGTCGGGGGAAGGGAAATCGGAGCACTGAGGGTCGCTAGTGGTGGCACAGTGGAATTCCCACGGACATAGCCGATTCTCCATGTGACTCTCTCTCTCTCTCTCTCTCTCTCTCTCTCTCTC